ATTTATAACGTGATATCAAAATTATAAGCAATTTAGTTTTTTTTAGTTTTTATAATGCTACTATAGTTATAATAGGGCTAATTGCCCCTAATTTGGGCCGATATATAAATTAAGCAATTATATAAATTTTCAATAGCGACCAAAATATCGATAAGTACCATCCCAATGACGCGTTCATCTAGATAATATTGATAAATAGCTGATTTTTAGCGCATTTATAGGTCTTTTCTCCTAACATATTTATTCCTTATTTTGTTTATCATTAACGAAATTATAATATCAAAACGCATACATGGATTTGTTATCAGGAAAACATGATTTATTATCTTTTTAATATCCTTCATATACGATTTAGATCTAATTTTTATTATGATTACTGTTAACTCGACCACACGGTAGGCGAAATATGTTATCACGAATGCTTATATCAAAATATCAAATTTAGTTTTCATTTTGTTTTCATTCTCTGATCGGCACTGTGAAACCCATGAAAAAAAAGATATGTTTTAGTATATTAAAACTTATTTGACTTTCAGTTTTGTTTTTCTAGATAGCCCTTTTAAGTACCTTTCATTTGATGAATAAATATGGAAAATCTGTGCAGTACTTAAAAGGTTGTGAATATTCAAAGTTGGGTACATAGGCAAAAATGTCGATTTTTAAAATCACCCTAACTCAGGAAGGTGCACCCTAACGGCGAAATACAAATAATCAATAAGGCCGTAATAAATCATAAGTTTTTCTTTTGTCACTCGATGGTTGCACGAGCTCGGGGGGGGGGGGGGGGGTAATAAAAAATAAACAAACAATCACATCTAAACCATATATTTCAAGCGCTGACATTTTTTCTTAGCCTTCGCATTAGCCTTATACTTCTTTGAAGCCGTGATTTTTGACACTAATGCCACAAATGTTGACTTTTTTATATGTAACACACGGGTTATCAACAAGAAATTTCGCGCATAAGTTTTTGTATCCTTTCAAGAAAGAACATTGGTAATAATGTAGATGAATAGGAGCAATTGATTTTTGGGTATTGATAAATTCCGGATAAACCATCAAGCGGAATACCACAAACGTAACAGTTTTTATAAAAAAACGTTTTGTTTTCGATAGTTCCTCCCTATCCAAATATAACTCGGTTTTCTCAACAATTGTGCTTGCTTCAAAAAATCTAAATAGACGTATGGATTAAGGAAGGTCTATTCAACAAAATCCAAGTGTTATATTCAAAGGAAGGAGCCGAAATTCAACTTGGCTGAGCAAGAAGCCCAAATTTCTATAAAACTGAGTACTTTTGAGAATTCAAACCCAGTTTCTAAAAAAAATAGTAAATGCTTCAAAAAATGTCTCATCACGTATGGATTAAGCAAGATCAATTCTATAAAATCCAAGTCTATTTTCAAAGAACTGAGCTAAAATTCAACTTGGCGTTATGAAAATACGTACTTTTGTGAATTTAAACTTGATATTCTTAAAAATTGAAAAAATTCAACCCTCACGTATGGTTTCAGCAACTTCTATTCTATAAAATACAAGTCTATTTTTCAAAGATAGGAGCCAAAACTCAGTTCGATAAAACAGAAAAATCATTTTTTATGAAAATACCTTCTTTTGTGAATATTAACCAGGTTCGTTTTTCCGGTATTCAGCAACTCATTCAATTAAATCAAAGCACAAATTTCAAACGATTGAACTGAAATCCAACCTGGCTTCAAACAAATCTACCATCACGAATGAACTCACAAAGGTATAACATCATGTTTTTTAAAGGACAGAGCCAAAATCCATCTTGGCTGATCAAGAAACCCAAATTTACATGAAAATAGTACTTTTGTGGATGTAAACCCAGTATTCTCAACAATTGTGCTTGCTTAAAAAAAATAGTATCCGGTATGAACACACGAAGGTCCATTCTTCCATTTCTCAGCCTTATTTTCAAAGGATGTGAATCTCACAAGAACGAAGAAGGGGTCTAAAGGAGCGGAATCTACGCAAAAAGTTAGTTAAATCACTTCAGGAAAGTTCAGACTAACATTAAATAAAATGCAGTCTCTCAACATACAATTCAGACTCCATAAAGAAAGTTATGAACCACTTCAGAAAAGATGTTACTCCATTTGGAAAATTTAGCTCAAAAAGTGTTCGAAAACTAAAAGACCTGAACAAGATTGTGTATTTGCCAAATGCCAAAGCAGTTAAGAACAGTTCGGAAAAAGTTGAATCAATGCAGGAAACCTTTGATTCATTTAGGAAAGGGATTAAATCAGCTAATGTTGCCTCACTTCAGAAAATGCGAAACCAATTCTTTGAAGATTGGATTCGGGATTTGTTGAATTACTCCAGGAAAGCTTTGACAACATTAAAAAGGATTGAATAACATAGCAGAAAAGTTTAGACTTAAATAAAAAAATGTTGATGACTTATTCGAAAGTTTGAACTCACTTCAGCAGAAAAGTTCAGACTCAGTTTTGAATCTGCTTTGAAAAGTGTCACCTCAGTTAGGAATTTCCTGAATCGTTTCCTCGGAAAAGGTTGAATCACTGTAGAAAAGAATTAAATAATTTAGTATCATTGCAGCAGGTTTGTAAGTTAAGAAAATTAGACCGAATGCAAAAATCTGGCGACTATGGTGGGCTGGGCCCATCGTAACAATGTTGGATAACGACCCAATGAGAATGGTTCTTGGTAGTGATCCGACTGGAACAAGACGAAGATGTGCGCAACGAACAAGAGGGACTACATTATATAGCGAAATGGCTCTAATGTTGGCCAATGGATCAAAGATTGGGCCCATCTCTAAAAATCTGATATTTATCAATTTTATCTAACTGAACGCGTCATTGAGACGGCATTTATGGCTATTTTTGGTCGCTATTGAAAATTTAGTCTATTGCTGAATTTATCTATGGGGCCAAATAAGGGGCATTGAGGCCGACATTACTTCCACTTCCCCTGTCTTTTAAATTATTCTGAAAGTTGGTCTGAAGCTTTAAAATTCATCTGGCTTGAGGGTTACAATGAATTTATAAGATGATTCAGAATTTTTGATTGATATTCTATAAATAAAACCTGAATTGATACACCTGTGGTGAGATTTGACTCCGGACATTATCCTGGATATCTTATATCACCACCACTGATTTTGTTTTCTCTCTAAATTATCATGTGATTTGATGTGTTGCAAGATGAGTTTTTGCGCGAGTCAGAAACTGGTCAGTTTCCTGGGAGCACCCGGAACATGTCCGAATGTGGCCAATGTGATTCAAAGGGCACTCAATAATACTACTACTGAGCTTATTTTCGAATTTTCATGTGATTTGATGTGTTTGACACGTTTCAGGTGTTCAAAGCCATTTGATAGCCATCAACTCTACAAGACTGACAGTTAGGGTTGCCAGTACGATTTTCAAAAAATCTAGAAGAATTCCAAACATTTGTCTTAAAAAAAAAACTGGCCTATGCTATAGAGATTGGAGACTTCCAAACTTTTCTAAAAATGTTGACAGGTGATGCGATTTCGATTTTCCAGATAAATCTGAAAGGTTGGCGTCACTGCTGACGGTGTTCTCCATATACTTATTTCCGGAAAATAAATCATTTTTGGAACGTGGGTTCCAGTTTAACCAATAGCGACACCAGTGGTGTAGTGGTAAACGTGACTGCATCTCACACCAAAGGGCCGGGGTTTAATCCCAGTCGGCGCCGTCGGGATTTTCTGAGGTATAAAATCTCTGATCAGGGAAGTAAAGCCGTTGGTCCCCGGTCCACGAGTTGATGGGTCGATGGAGATGGAGAGAGGCAGCTCCCACTCTGGCATCTGTAGCATTGGTAATCAGTACGTTAAACAAAATCGACGGAAAACAGATCAAGGAAAAACAAAAGTTCTACCAAATCAGAAGATAGTTTGTGTGCCTTTTTCAGAAACCACCGTCTCGAATGGGTTAGTACCATTGCTTCGGCTAGACTACGGTACCGTCCCGTAAAGATAGTGAACTGGCGACTCCATCATTCTCGGCGCAAAGTGCGAATATTTGACCGATAACCGAAAAATTTGCCTCTGATGCTTGATTTGCATCAGACGGAGAAAAGAGACCGAAAACCACAAAATGGATTTTATTGCCCCTTTCGGAATGAGGATGATACTTAGGCACGAGTCAAGAAATGGAATCTATTTTTCTTCGCCGCCCGCGAGATGGCTCGCTCACCCGTCTAAGGAGGACCGAGTGTGCTTATGGAATTTCTGAAGAAGCGGAAAACTAAATCACCCAAAACGACCTACCGTCGGACGGCTAGCACGAGTCATGCTTACTGCTTTTAGGAGACCACAAGAGGATGAAACATTCAAGCAATTTGTAGTTCTTTAAGATCCGCGAATAAGATAACAGGCTTCACCGAGCTAAGACACGCCTAACCCGATCGCTCGCTTGGAATCCTTAGAACATTTGTCAAATTCGAATTCTGGCGGCTTTTTGTTTTGCCAGCTCGTCCTGGTTGAGCCACGTTTTACAATCATGTTCAACAGAAATTTGTCAATAATAAGAAGATTTAACATTTGGCTCCGAACCACTCTGAAGGCACACTTTTCGATATTCACGCAAAAAAGGTCGTCGTCAGCGATCGCAAAAAAAAAAGTGTCGCCAAAGTGTTGCCTTTTGATGGTCCGCATTTGAGATGTGTTTTTTTTTCACTGCTCTCAGCCTCCTTCTATTCTGCCTTCTTCGGGTCTGTACTCTCTTCCCGGTCTTTTTAGTGGCTATTAATCGTTCGCTGATCGGCTGTCTAATGGATATATTTATTTTTGTTCCTCTCGCACGCTTCACGCCTCGGTCTTCGCCACGATCCGCGATCCACCTTCTGACAAAGCGGGGAAGAAAAAAGCTTCAGTCTCGAGAGCTTTTTACTCGAATCACTCACTTCCACTTCACTCTCTTTATCGAAAATCATAAAAATAGACATCGTTGGTGGTTTTTCGTTTCTGATTTCTCCCCTCTCTCTAGCTTGTGCACACCCACCTTCCGAAGACTCTTTTGCACTCTTGAGGCATACCACGGAGCAAGTCGGGAAGAAATGTCACAAGAAGTGTAAGTATCTCTCCGAGATGATTTTTTAAGTGTTTCAGGCCTTAAGTGGCCTGGCTCCTCGCGAATCCCTCTTCTTTCATCCGTTCACCCATGTGCCGCGATTTGATTTTCTGTTCCCCTCGTCTTCCTACATCCACACTAATTTGCTTCGATATCAATTATTGACTGGATGTCAAAATATCACACGAAAATTGAAATTTCTTCCACTTCCTTCCTGCCCACCCTTCCACACACATCTTGGACCAGTCATGGCAGTGCATGGCCACCTCCACGGATTGTTGTATAGACAACGACGAGACTTGTGTGGCTGTCAATTTGCCTTTTCCATTTCCTTCACTTCGGGCTCTGCCTTCGATGCTTCTATCAAAGGTGATGTTACTGTATATCATTCAACCTTCCGTTCTTTACCTTACCTTTGAATTGGTGTCATGTTTTGATGCCCCCATCGTTGTGCCGAAGGAATTCACCGGGTTCTTTAATGGATTTTGAATTTTGAAACTATGAATGCTTAAGAAACAGAACTAGATAAGAAATGCGTGTGATGGACCAGTCATGATGTCATCGGTTCAGGTTTTATTGTTCGTTTTTTTTTCGTCAGGGCCATAAAATTGGACGTGTCACTCACATTTTTTCTCTAATATTTGCCAACATATACCTTTTTTTCTTGACACTTTGTGAGGAATTTGAAGCATCATAAAAGGAATGAAACTGGAGGAAATTGTGTTACAGTTATCACACTTCAAACAAAAAGCAAAAGCTTGAGACCTTTGACTTTTGTGAAATGAAGTTGTAGACTCAAGATTATGTTGATTGAATTGCAAATCTAAGATAAGTGTAACAAATTGAAAAGTACTTTCCTCCTTTACCATAGACACACGGTAATTTTTCAATAATATTTACAGTCTAGCTTGGAGTTAAAATTTGATGTTTTGTGATTACAGGTATTAGACCCGTTCCTTGTGACGTGACACGCACATTTTCGGCCCATGATTACTCTCTTCGCTTAAAACTTATAATTAACTTCATAATATGGTAACCAATAGTAGACATTTTTTTCCTTGATTTGTTTTCCGTCGATCTTGTTTTCTATGCTGAGCCCCAATGCTTCCGACGCCACGGAGGCAGCTACCACACCTGGACCCATCAACTCATGAACCGGGGACCAACGGCTTTACTTCCCTTCCGAAGGCGTGATCAGAGTTGTTATGCCTCAGAACATCCCGGTGGCGCCGACTGGGATTGAACCCAGACTGGGATTGAATCACGCTTGCCACTACACCACCGGCGCCGCTAAGATATTTCTTATTAATAACAATAAATTGAAAAGTTAGCTGATCACAATTGTTCTACCAGTGTTCACTCGGCTGTCGACAAAAGCAGGCCACTCTCGATGTGTGCTACGCGATCGTCTGTTTTCTCGGCAGCAACCATTGTGTGGTCCTCCTCATTGTTCTTCATTTGCAGTTCTTTCGGTCGATGCGTCGTCGACTTTGGAAAGCAACCGTTTCGTGATGAGTGTGTGAGTGCTGACCACGTTTTGCGTCCATTGCTGCAATGGACGCGCTCTGACCCTCGTTGGCGTACAACAATTTGCCATACAATGAAACTACTGGAAGCGGCTCCAGTTCTGATGGAGGAGGCTTTTTGGATAGCGGAATATAAAGTGTTTATTGTGTTGTACCTTTTGACTATAGTTTTAAGATGTATTGTATAGTGACCAAGAATCCTCGGCTCTGTAAAGTTAATTCGGTTGTGCCTTGTCAAATAAATTAATACACAAAAAAAAAAAAAACAATTGTTCTATGAAGTATGCGTCAACCATGATATTGCAAGCCTAGAGACACGAGCGTTAAACCAAGATTGCTTGGAAAACTTTGTCTGCGTAATTCAGATGGCGAATGCTACGAATGATCGACTAGACGCTTTTGCATTCAAGTAGGCCCATAGAGCAGCAGCTATCAACTAGCTTCTTTGCGTTAGCGATAATGCCAACAGCGGGCAAGATGCGGGTATTGAGTTGTTCAGCTTGCATGATTTGTCTAAGTTGACTGTTGAAAAGCCCGTAACCCTTTTGCCTGCTGTTGAACTAAACCAATAGCTGGAGGAGTTCGATTGCTCATATATGAACAAGATAAATCACACTGCCGGTTGGATAAATTCCACAGCTACCCACAAGCAATGTATCGACCGCCTGAGAAGTGATGCACAATCTGGCGAGCAGAATTCAACATTTGCTCGATTGAAGGTGTCGAACAACAAATGGTAAGCATAGAACTCGAAACGTATCTTACAAGCATTGTATCTGTTTTCAATAAGAATTTTGAAGACCTTCTTTGCGAGAGTCCTGTTGGGATCAAAAGCCGAATAGCAGAGTATGTTTTTGTAAAAGAAGATGATGAATATCTTTGTAACTTATGCAAAGCATCAATTGTTGATCATTACCTGAATAGGGTAGAGCGCTACTTCGTCGTAATCGCCCATTTCCGTTCTATCGATCAGAAAAGATCAATAACATCAATGATTTCACCGTGCACAAATCAATAATAGGTTTGTTCCGATGCGCTAGTTCATTAGCTACAACATAAACCCTGTTAGAGCGCATTGTATGATTATTTACGCTCATTGTTCTTAAAACAAAAGAAGCGGTCCTAGCGAATCCTCTTTTTCTACGTTTATCCGTAGGACGAAGAAAATCTAATGGCGTTTCAATGCGTTAGGACGGAATTGAAACTCGTAGAACGAATTTAGAATCAAGAAACAGTGTTAGATTTTAGACAATATCTCATCAATTTGTGACTCTTTATCAAATCCAACGGTACGTATGGAAAGGTGAATAAATTTGCAAGTCATCTTTGACAGAAATATTCCATTTTTTGTTTAAATTCGTTCAGAAAAGAGAGGTAAAGCGTGGGTTGTGCTTAGCAGGACGGAAATTAGATCAAAAACTCTATGTTGATGAAAGTAAAGCTCAAGTTTTTAAACGAATCATGCATGATGAATAAACTCCGGCAAAAAGAGGACAAAGGCTGCTGGCAATCTCAAAGCCAAAGAAGTGAGAGGTTGTATCCAAAACACGTGCTTGGTATCAATATTCGGGGGGAAACCTCTTTTTCCCATCTCGGAAACGCCTCGTTTTCTGATGACAAAATCACGCATTTTCGTGCACAAAATGTACGGATTTTTTGGTTTGTTCAATAGATAATAAAAATGTAAAAAGTTGTATTCAAAACGTAAATTTTACGTAGAATTGCGTGCTTGGTTTCAATATTCGGCGACTGTGTTAGGAAAACCACTTTCTCCCATCACGGATAATGTGGCTGGCAGAAAAGCGAGCGAACGTTCAATGCAAATTAACTCTTAAACAACAATAATTTATGGTGGTCCTGAAAACAACCGTTTTGTCGGTGAGTAATGCTGAGCTATTAGAGTGATCAACACAGATGAGGCTGGCTGTATATTGTTTGGAACGAGGGTGACGCGCTTGGCAAAGATGGCTCATAGCGCATCACGGCGAGCAACCGAATCCGATCAGTGCTGCACCTACGCTGCATTCATCGTAGCTATTAGGAGTACACTTGGTTATGATCACAACGTACTTCGTATGTTTGGCTAAAGGTCGCGTGTAGCCTCCATCTATTTATCCACATAAAAGTGTGTTCAAACTTGTGTTAGCCTGTGGACATTTTTAAAAGCGTGTTTTTGGTGCTATTTATGACACTTAACTATACAGTACTATTTAAATAAAACAACTGGTTGATGTTATCAACACTTTACTCCTGGAGTTCAAGATACATATTCTAGTCATTATTTTCTAATAATATTTGATCTAATTTCTGATGCAGATATTGACACCAATAAATATTTTTCCATGTCACCCCCTATCCCCAATATCACCGCATCTTAAGGTAATCCAAAAAATGTTTTCGACATCGCTGAAATTTTTTCCGACTTCCTTGATAAGTCGTTTGGTATGATTGGCAAAAAAAAATCCTGGCCTCGCTTGAAAATTTCTTCTGGCTTTCCTCGGAAAATTCTTCCTACTTCTTTTGGAATATTGATCCGATTTGTATTTGTATTTGTATTTATTGTATAAATCCATCTGACATCGTAGTCTTAATGAATAAAACTTAACTAAAAAAAAAACTTTAACACGTACGTTGTACAGAAAAAAAACAAAATCATTCTGGTTGATTCCGTAGGCGGTTTCGAAAAACGTTGGTAGAGATATTGAAGTCAAACAAGCTATAATTGTCTTGGAGTCTTCGACTTATCGAATCGATGGGATTGTTGGATCCGTACTGTGTTCGTCTCGTTGGCTGGCGCAATAGCTGTCTAGATCGCAGCACTCGTTGAGGGGCGTAGATGTTGAGCTGACTCAGCAATGCAGGGCAGTCTATTTCGGAGCGTAAAATTTTGGCTCCTAAGATAGCTTGGCTGAACTTGCGTCTATCCACTAGCGGTTCAATACCAAGCAGCGCACAGCGGTGCTCGTAGGGTGGTAGTCGTAATGAGTCGGTCCATGGCAAGCCTCGTAGAGCACATCTCACAAATTTCCGCTGCACTGATTCGATTCGTGAAATCCACACAGCATCGTACGGAGACCAGACGGCAAAATTAAATTCAAGAATTGATCTAACTAGCGAGCAATACAGAGATTACAAACACAGAGGGTCATCAAATACGTTCGCTATCTTGAGAATAAATCCAAGTTGACGATTTGCTTTATCAACTATTTCCGAATAGTGCATTTTGAATGTGAGTTGATAATCCAGTACCATACCCAAGTCTTTAACATGATCAACCCGATTCAGTACAGTGCCATTGATAGTATAGTCATGTAGGATAGGATTTCTCGTTCTTCGAAAGGATATGATACAGCATTTGGACACACTGACTGCTAGATGATTCAGTGCACACCAACTGACAAACAAATCTAGCTGTTGTTGCAATTGACGGCAATCATTGGTGCTCCTAACAACCAGGTAGATTTTAAAATCGTC